AACAAAAGCAAACTTTAATAGATGGGGGAAAAAAAAAGAGAAAAGGAATCTATCTTTTGTAGCCAGAAAAATCACTGCAAAAATAAAAATAAGTTTTCAGGTGAGGTGTTTTTGTTGACATCTTACTACAAGCAGTATCTTTGATAATATGCAGATTTTTCTTGACAGGAAGATGAAGCTCGAACACATAGGTGCTTGGAAAATGCAAGAGATACACAGAGAAGTTATCTTGCAAAGCCTTTATTTTAGCTTCATAAGCTTCTGAAATCATTGAGCAAAATATTCCTTGTTAAGACATTTCCATCTTTGCTGTTAGGAGGTAGCACAGCTTGCTCAACAGGGCACTGGCCTAGGCTCAGATGTCTGGCATCTATTCCTTTCTCAGCTACTGTGAGAAAATGAATGTTCCATTTCATCTCTGCGTGCCTCTCTCCTCCTGCAGTCCCCCTTGTCTGTTTAGAGTGCATGTTCTTCTGAGCTGGAGTCTTTTTTATTTGGAGTGATATATATATATATATATATATCTATACTGTGTAAAATCGTGGAGTGACAATTCTGTCAGCTCCCCTAGGGACTATTGTAAAATGAAGCCTAAAAAAGTTATACATTATTGTAATTTATTAGCATGCTATTTTCACTATATATGGCAATGTACAAGTAGAGGTCAGTATCCCAAAGATCTAACTGTGGTATTGAAGACCCAGCACACCCAAGAGAGGTTACACAAACAGTGGGGAATTTCCCGTTGTAGTTGAAAGTTTCATGGAATAGTTGTGTTGCAAAGTTTACTTGAAAGCAGACAACTGGAAAGTCATTGATAGGGCTGTACAGGAAACTTATACTGACTTCAGGATTCATATTTGGCTTGCTTTGGCAATTAAATGATATGTAGGAAATAGAAAAGAAAGAAAATGTAGGGAGAAATGTCATGCAAAATGTTTTACACTGAAAAAATACTCAGGAGTTACGATATGCTTTCCCTCTTGAAGACGCTTGTCTTATGGAAACAGCCTTTGTGATCATTCTGATAATCTGTAACTAATTTTCTGTTCATCGTTGGTACAAATGACAATCATTTTATTGCTTAAATATCTGGCATTAGAGTTTAAACTAATGATGACTTTATCACAGCAGTGCATATGGAAGCGGTAGTGCCTGACAGTGATTGACAAGAAGCAGTGGTCATCATTCATTTTGTGGTTAATTCATCCTCTTACCTCAATGGTAGCGTCACATGTTCTTAAGTCTGTAAGAAAGAAATGCAGCAGATAGTTTACTAATGTGTGAAGAATTGGTGTTTAAGGTGGACATGTTGCAAGGCAGGTAAATATTCTGGTCATCAGCTAATTAATATTCACATTGTGCATTTCATGCTGAGATCAGAAGCTAGAAGGGATGGGCTGTTTCTCAGAAGTCCTCAACGTGAGTGTGTGTGCATTTTCATCAAGATACTCTTACGCAGCTGGTTACTGAAAATACATTGTCAGTATCAATTACCAAGCAGCTGCTTTTACCTGCCTTATGCAGTGCATCTAATCACGTATAAAATAGCTGGATACGCAGAGACTCACGAAAGGAGTTCAAGACAAGAATGAGCTTGACGTGAAGAATTGTTTATGGTGTGTCAATTGTAAGAGGTGTCTGAATGAGCCAAGGAAATGACAACATGGGATAGAGAGTCCCACGGAAGGGTGGAGATAGGCAGGCACCTCTTAAGATCATCTTGTCCAACCTCCTGCTCAAGTAGGGTCAGTTGCAACAGGTTCCCCAGGACCATGCACAGTCAGGTTTTGAGTATCTCCATGGATGGAGACTCCACAACCTGTCTGCCTGCTGTGCTGAGGGGACCCCTGTGATTAATGATTTTGTCAGCTCAGATGACACCAGTACCACCCCAAGCTCCCCAGTGCAATCTGATTTTTCAAGGCACTTGGTTGCAAAAGAGACACTGAAAGCCTGAGGGACTTGGGTCTTTTCAGTCTGGAGATGAGTGGGGGAGAATCTTATAAATACTTATAAATACTTAGAGGGTGGGTGTCAGGAGGATGGGGCCAGACTCTTTTCAGTGGTGCCCAGTGACAGGACAACAGGTAATTGCCACAAACTTGAACATAGGAAGTTCCATCTAAACATGAGGAGGAACTTCTTGACTTTGAGGGTGGCAGAGCCCTGGAAGAGGCTGCCCAGGGAGGTGGTAGAGTCTCCTTCTCTGGAGACATTTCAAAACCCACCTGGACACATTCCTTGCAACCTGGTCTGGGTAGATCTGCTTTGGCAGGGGGTTGGACTAGATGATCTCCAGAGGTCCCTTCCAACCCCATATAGTTCTGTGATTCTGTGGTTGTGCATATATTGGTAAAAGTATTACATTTATGGAGTAAGTTGATCTGTTTGGCAGGTGCTGCCCTGCTCTATAACCTGAGGACAAAATCGGTTTCATCTGCAGCCTGCTCAGCGTGCAGACTCACTAATAGGTCAGGTATAAGGAAACAATCTCGGAAGGAGTCAAAAGCAGAAAAACAAAAGAAAATAAAACCCCACAACCTCCACAACAAAGAACCCAGAAAGCCCAGCCTGAGAAGTCAGAGGCATCACAGAGTGTTTGCCTCTGACCCTGCTTAGGCACCTGTTTCCCACAAATGGCACATAAGGTGGTGCCTCGCTGCAACAAGGAGACCCTGCTTTACGCTCCCAAAACACACACCTCCTGCTGCAGAATAGAGGACTGTTTGGGCACAGCAGCTGCTCCAGGCATGAGATATATCTCCTCTGGCCCCTCGGTCAGACCCGTGCCAAGGGGTTCCACCAGGCACCTTTGTAATGGAATGATGAATTATCTTTTTATTATCTTGTTGAAGCTGTAAATGATTAATTCTTTTCGGTTTTCAATTTCCCGTATTTTTGATGTATTCAAATAGTAAGTACAGCATTTTTGGCAGCAGTTTTTAACATCCCCTGTTTCCATGCCACGACATCTACTACAGCCAGCTAGAAGCAGTTTCTCACTGAATGCCTTATCAGCCAGCAGTGTTCCTCATGTGATTTGCATGACTGTAAATGCGAACAGACTGAAAAAGGACAATTAAAGAGGGGTGTTTGGCAAACGTCCCTTTTTTCTTTATGGTTATTCTTGCTCTGCAAACACAGGAAAGCAGCAAAGCACGTAAAACGTGACAGTGGAGCACCCAGCCCCACCAATTGTTTTTCTGTTTGAGTGTTGGTTCCACCTAGAAATCAGAATTAAATGCATACCTATGTAACACCTCCCATCTGAGGATTTTTAAGTACTTAATTAGACCTCTCAGACTCTTTTAAGGCTGTATACTACCCCCTTTTTAGGTGGCTAGCATGGAGACTAGAGTGAATAATTTGTAGCAGGTCTACCAGATGTGGCTACTCATCTGTTTTACTTGACTGCTAGCTTATGTAGCTGGCAAAAATAAAGCTCCATTTGTTACTGGCGGTTGTTCCCGAGGGAAATGTTACATAAAAATAACAACAAACACCTCCACCCTTAGATCAATTTTATGTGAAAGAACAAAATTTGAGCAAATGGAGTTTTAAAACTTGTGTCTAGGTGAATTTTACCAGTTTCTTTCAAGCTTCTGGAAGTGGCATGTTTTGCTTCCAGGCAACTGTTGTTTGAGAAGGGTTAATAATACAATGACTATCTAGGGTCCAGTGTGGGCAGCCAGCTGGTGGACTTTGAAACCTCACTGTTTGATGTGTTATGTAGGGTTCTTCTCTCCCTGCCCCTGCCTTCTGTAGGATGGCTGCTTGTGCTCACAGCGTTAACTTTTTCTGCTAGCTTTTTAGAAAAGGGGCTATAGGGTCCCACAGGCTTTATTTAGGTAACCCAACATGACTACAGTTTGCAGAGCCCCACAGAACTTCCCTCTGCATGGTCATCTGCAGGGGTTGATCTTAGTCTTGGACACATTTGCTGACAAAAGGGCACTATTCAGTGTCTTGCCTCAGCCAGGTGACCTCTGGACACCAGAAGTATCTCCAGCCAGCTAACATCAACATGGAGGGGTCTCAAGTTTGGAGCAGGAGACATGAAAATTGCTTGCAATCATATCTGTGCCCCAGGTTGTTCCATGTCTAGAGGCTTGTGTGGGGCCCTCAGCTGTAAACTGCTCTTGTGCTCAAAGCCAAGAATATGGATTTTTCACTTTTGTTTCTAATTACGTAGGATAAAACTGCTTTCTTAGGGTCTTTTCCATAGTCTCACAAGATGTTTTCAGGTCACTGACTTTATGCTAGCCCAAGACATGAAAGAGACTGCCAGTTTAGGGACCCTTCAACATTCTCTCTACTCACACTGATGTTTCTTGCGCAGTAATCACTTGATGCCAAAGTCAGATCATTTTCTGATTTTTAAAATCAATTTAGAGAAACAAATCTATTTCAGCATTGCATGGAGTTGAACATTACAAAGCGAAGGGTGCTTATCCTTGTTCCATTCACAGAGATAAAACACTCCTCTGTAAATCCATAGTTACTGCCATTAGTGAAATGTCTACAACAAACTCCAGGCAACCAGTTTTTGTCTTGAGTCTTATAAAAGTGTTGAAAAATTGTAATGGGTTTGCCTCAGTGCCTTAACTTGTAATATGTCTGGAGTGCAAAAGTCCATCAGCTGAAGAATTCATTATAGCTCAAAGCTTTTATGGTTGTATATATTGAAAAGAATTCAGAATTAACTTTTAAAAGTGAATATGAGTTGACATAAATTCAATGCTAAAAGTATTGGAACATAATTCAGCACCTGTAACGGACCCAGTGACTTCTGTGGGATTGCATTGCCTCAAGTCAGTAACAAACAAGTCTTTTAAGAGCAAGAAGTGCCTCTTAGAATAAAATCAGTCACAGTAGTGTATAACCATATGCTACAGCATTTGGTCTTTCTGCATGCCATCTCTCCTATGAAGGGATCTTCATCTTGTATGGAATTATAAAATGCATTACCTTTCTTTTTCTTTTCTCTAAAATAACAGTGAATCAAGCAGTCCAAGCCAGTTCCCATTACAGCAACAGAAACGTGCCTGTTAACCACAGTGAGAGCTGGACTCTGTCCTGAATGGCTGTATGAGTGATCAAAAGATACGTATTATAGGAATGTACAGTTATGCTGTGAGAAATTTTGCTTTCCTTCTCTTCAAAGGCTTCAGGCATCTCGGGGAAACCAAGAAAAATTGTAACAGTAAGTCTTATGAGCACACATGAGTTTATCAAAGCCCTCATCATCTGATGCTGATTTCCACTGCGTGTAAATAAATATATGAATATTTTATTTGCTTCATCTTTATAATCAAACAATCCTGGGTTTTTTTTCTGTCACGGTAGGAGTAGCCTCAGTCAGTGTTTCTGCCTGGGTCCTATAGCTGTTACTCATGAACTCACATCAGCGCTTGTTCTCTGGGTTGGGTGACCAAGAGAGGAAGGGGTCCTGTTGTGTGGGGTGGGAGCTGTGCACCTCCTAGCCCCGATCCACAAGGGAATCAGCGCAAAGGAATTACAAGCAGTGAATCACTGTGGTGGGGGAAAAGATCACGTTTACTTGTTTTCAAACTTTGGGGTGGAGTTCTGTTAGGATGAGAGGGTTGCTGAGATTAAACCAAAGCAGATGGAGGCTGATAAAGCCAGAGAAGAGGCAGAGATAATGAACTGTGAGAGAGGAAATTGCAAGTCAGAGAGGGTTGGTGGGGACTGGATCAGGGGGAGAATGGCCAGAGTGAAAATACCCCATTTGTGTCTCCACTGCAGTGCCCAGTGGGGCAGCAGCTTTTCCTGCTCCTCTTGGCTCTGTTCCGCCTCGAGTAACACCTCACCAGCGTTATTTGTGCTCCTTGAGCCCACCTGGTTTGGGCAAGAGTAGTCCTTTCCCTTCCCATGTGCCCCCAGAGGGAGACAGTTGTTCCTGAATGAGAAAAACTGTGGCTTCACCCAACTTGCTTCTGCCCAGGCTGACGAGGACTCCTGACTGCAAAGGTAATGTAGTCCTGGGCTATCCCAGGTTATCTGGAAAACTGCTCTGTAACACCATATTCCTGTGATGAATAGATGCTCAAAAGTAGAAGCAAATTCCAAAGCTTTCCCCAACACAAGTAACAGCAAGGACAGGATCCGTAACTCAGTTGTAACTCATCATGGGAGCGGTGGGATGAACGGAGGAAGCACCGCTGCATGTGGGGTTACTGGAGGGATTTTCCTGCTTGGACTCGGGTAGTCTTAGAGGAAAATGGATGTATACTGTTGCTGAGGAAACAAGTCTCCCAGAGGAAGGTCGGCTTCTCCCCTCTGTGAGTTTTTGCCGCCTCGCGCTCACTCAAGTCAATTAACCTAAAACCTACAAACTGCACACACCACGGCTCTGTGCAGTTATTATATGGAACTTTATACAGTTGCATGTGGATTTAATCATAAACAGCCCAGGAATGGATTCAAGTTTATATTCCTCTTTAAATATTTGTATTCCTGTAATGGAATGTTGCCCGTTTTTCTCTGTAGGTGCCAGCTTGCGTGATGACCTCAGTAAATACTTCTGGTTTCATCATTCTCAAGGGGACACGATGACAGTTCAGGATCCAAACCAGATGAATCTCTGTGCTGCTGTCTGGACTGTTGTCTCCTATGTAATTGCTGACATGGAGGAGATGTTGCCAAGGTAATAAAACAGCAAGAAAGACGATTTCTGTTCTTCAGTAAAGATTCTGAGTCCACTAATGCATGTGGTCTACAGCTGTGGGAAAGTCTGTTTTTCACCCCGATTTTGTGCATTATTATGTCTGTTTTCATCAAAGCACACGCTCTTTTACACATTCCTGTTTCTTTTTGCTGTTTTGATATCTTCCATTTGTGATTTTCACTTAAAATTCCTTCTTTTAAGTACTTTTTAAATTTCTGATGAAGCTCTGATACCTCTCTGACTATGATATAATAACCATTTCTATGCAAAGTGATCCTGTGCAGAAGGAAAATATACCAAATAAATTTGTGGCATCAGAATAATTAATGTATTGAGTTAGAGTACACTTTTATGGGTTTATTTTCTGTCTATCACTGTATGCATTAGGATGATGTACTATTAATAAAATAATCATTTTTTTTACTCTTCTAAAATAATGCTGCAGTGTCTATATGGCTTTCAGGTTATTGGACAAATTAATCTTGGCTGGGTTAATGGTAATATATGGTAAAATGGTCAGATAATGGTCAAAATGCTAAAATAATATGGCTTTTAATAGTTCCTTCAGCTCCCACTGTTAAATCTTACTAAAGCCTTCATGTGAGGCTCAGATAAACCAGGACACCGAGGGTAGGAAGCCAACCACAGGAGTCCCAGGGCTCCTGTGTTTCTTCAGGCACCTCCCCATGGAAAGCTGTGCGTGTCCTTTTCTTTCTGATGGAAGGCTCGCCGTAGTGACATGCAGAGAATTTCATATGGCAATTTTTCTCTGAAACGCCGTGATGTTTCAGAAGCGGCATCACAGCCGTGATTTGTGACCTTCACTACCTGCCAGCTGGTATCCAAACTAAGTGTAAAAGCAGATTTTGATTCAGGCTGCTGAAGCCATTCCCAGCTTCCCTCTCTTGCCGGGATGCCCTCCCCTGCTGGAAGCCAGGCGAGAGGATGCTCCTACATACGCATTTTGATGGAGGAATTAATCTGGGAATTTGATTCTTTCATACTTTGGTTTTTTTGGTTTTGAGGTTTGTTTTTTTTTTCCTGCTCAAAGATGATGAATATTCAGATGAGTTTCAGGGGTATCTGTAGAGAAGATATAACTGGTGCTGAGGAATATTTTAAGGCATATGATTTTTGCTCATTTCATTGTGACATGAACCCTGTTTGTGCTTTTAAATTTTACAACAAGCAAACTTACTGATGTGAATAACTGCTGCAATATAATCAATGCCAAACAGCTAATGTAACAAGCAACACGGAGTATTAAACCAAACGGCAGGTAGTCTCTGGTGCTGTTAATCAGTAATTGAGCAATAGCTGAATGATGAGCCATTCATTTTTATAGAATTAATAACCATGATATCTGTTTACCACGCTAATAGTGGTTTTACATCAAATTTATTAAATATTTCAATTTTCCCTCCAATTCATTTCAGGAACATAAAAGCTGCTGAGAGATACTCAGCTTTTTCTTTTTAAAGAAACAGTATTGAAATAAAGTTAGCAAAAATTTCCTCTGCTTTCAAGGCCTGATGCCTATGCTTGTTTTTTCTGATGTGCTTGACAAGAGCATAGCTAGTGGTGCTCACCACTGATTGATATGTCCTCAGCTGTCTCTAAATCCAGCCTTTTGACCTTCACAGAATGTTACTGACTCTTTCCTGAACTGTGTTCCACATCTTTTTTCCCTCAAGGTATACCACTTTGTACGTCAGATATTCAGAAGGGTTTTCCGTGAAGTTACATTTATTGTTACAAATCTTAACCTGTACTCACTTGGAAATGAGGTTTATTTGTGTTTTTCTCCATTGCCTCAAGTCAAACAGAGAATCTCTGGAGTCAAGAATACCCTCTCTTGAGGAGAAGGCTGTGGTGTACATGTGGTGCCACAGCACATCCCAAGATGTGCTTGTTGGCTCCTAGGCTACGTAAGATAGGCTGTAAGACTGTGATGCCCCTGAAGAAAATTTAACCTTCACATCAGTTTCAGATACACAGTTTTAGAGAGAAGCTCTGAAGAGTGGATTTAGAAAAAAAAAGTTACAAAATTAAAAATGCCATCTTATTTTTATGTAAATAATGAAATCAAAAATCTTTCCGTTCTCAAATTGAAAAAAAAAATCTTTTTACATGTGAAAACAGGTTTCATTGAAATAAAACATTGTTTTTTGTATCACCAGATCTTTCTTTTCTGATCTGTTCTCAGATCTAAAAGTTCAGCTGTTCACAGGAGCATCCTGATAACCTGCCTGTTCGGATGTACCTCTCTCAAAAATTTCCATAAATGGAGAGTTGCTAATAAATTTCTTTCCCTTCCTGGTGGGTTTTTGTACTTTCTGTGCAATAGCTCATCTTTATCCCTGCTCAGTGTAAGCAATTATGCTGTTTCAGTTGCTGGCAATTAAACATGTATCAGTTAGCCAGTTTTCAATTCAAGAGCGCTTCTAAGGCGATCCAGGTATGTCAACAGAACTTTGTTTTCCACTTGCATGCTGCCTTTGATCTTTGAGAATCTTTCTCAATTTTAGTTGAGAAAGTAATAGCTGAGGATATTATTTATATTACCATTATTGTCAGGGTCAACTGCCATAAATCTGTGCTTTTCATAATTACTGTGACAGCATTCTAAAATAAAGGGACCATGTTTCTCTCCAATAAAATAAAAATATGTCAGCTGTGGACTAAATTGCTTTTTGCCTGCAAAGATCTGTGAGCTGAGAGTTGAAAAAACAGCGGTAGTATTTAAATATATGTAAAAAATTTAAATTTCAAATAAAAATTTTCCTCAAGTTATTACAAATCTCTTGCATCTGCTGAGAAGAAGGGAGGCCCCTGGGTAGCCTTGCGTTCTGCTACAACTCAAAGCTTTCAGACATAGTTACAGAGGGACGAGGCCAATACATAATTCATTTACTCGACTAGACTATAGCACAAATGTTGATGAAAAGTCTCTTTTCAATACCGCATAATGTAACGTAGGTAATTTTGGCAGTAATAGAAGAGGAATTGCAGGATAGGAAACTGAGTCGGTGCTTTTGTCCTTCATGTGTCAAGACATTGCTGGAGTTTCACTGTCTCTTTGAGTGATTCAGTTCTATGTGATACCACAGGATTTTTACCTCCCTTTAAAATAATTAAAAACAAATAAAAAGAGCTGTTTCCTGGAACAAGAGATGAGCAGTGCTTCTGCTGCTGCTACACGGCAAACATCTCTGGCTGTATATTTAGTTAGTATGCTTCCCCCGTAACAATTTGAGACACTTCCATTTACCATGAGTAAATATCAAACTGATCTTTATATCTATATCTGTCTCATGAAATATACATACCGTCTAAATGTGCCCAGATGATTAATTTACTGCTGTGTAATGATTAGCATAAAAATCTCATCACTGCACAGGATAGAAATGTTACCACTAATTACTGGTTGAAGTGAACAATGTTTTCTGCATAGAAATTAATGATGCATGCATCACAGCTCACTCTTGAATGGGAAAATTCAAGACTTTCTGGAAGAGAAGCATCTTAATTTTATTTTTTTCTTCTCTTTTCTGCTAAATGATAGGAGAGCCTGATGATGTATAATAGAAAGGAAAATTGTTTTGTGCATGGCTCATTTTATCTTTACACCACACCTCTGGAAGTGTTTTAACTTACGCATTTTACAATCTTCTGTCTACAGCAAATAGGTGGAAGCACCGCCCACATGCACACCGTGGTCTGCCATGGTCATTACTTCTGGGAGCTCCAGCCCTTTCGCATGAAAGAGCTGTGATTTGTAGTTACAATTGTTTAATAAATATATTGTGCTAGCACCTCATTAAGGCCTGTAGGCAACTCTGTTCTTGGTAATCCTCTTTGACTTTGGAAGAGGGACCTCAGTGACAACTTCATAACCAGCTCTGTGTTTAGCTTGCTGTTTGATTTCACTTCAGCACAGACCAACCTCCTTTCGCTTATGTTAAGTTTCTATTTTCTGAGGTTTTTTCGGTATTTCGCTCTGCCTTTCTCAGTGTCTGCATTGTGATATGGATATTAGGTATGACTAACTGATTGAAAAGATCTGTGTATTTTGTGCCTTTGGGGCTCAGGAGCTGCAAGATACAACTGCGATGACTCCAAAGAGCAATGCAGAAGCACATGGGTGATAGCTCCATCAGGACCACCACTTGCTGTTATCATTGACCTGTGTTACTGGCAGGGAGAGCTTTGTGATCAGTGCAGTGAGTTTTCATCACCAGTCATGATTGTCTGTATAACTAAGTGAAAATCAGGTTTATGGGATCCAAAAAGGGAAGCTCACGAGGAGGAACCACAAAAATTTGAGGAAAGTAACATTGAGGCAGGGACTGTGGCTTCAAGTACTGGTGTTTTACTCTACTTTGCTGAGTGAGTTAAAGAACGCGACCTGAACCTACCTCAGTTTTCCTGTTAAGTGGTGGTAGTGGTGTTTGGAGCTCGTGTTTGGTGTAGCCTGATTTAACAACACTGTGTTAAAATACAGGAGGGATGTAAATGTAAGTTCATAGCAGAGGTGAGGTCCAAGTGGAGGAGAGGAACAAAAGTTAACACCTTTTAGCTGCATAATGATTCATCTGTAAAATGTGTTTTTTAGTAATAACTATTTGCATTTATGCTACTTGCATTATTTGCATTACTATTTGCGTTTACTCTTTGTTACAGCAAACAAAAAGAAATATTGTTCCTCCAGACACTGCCATTTCAAAATAGAATTTGGACATTAGGCATATCTATTTTAAACTAGTGGTACTTTGCATCCAGGAATGATGTGGGACAGTTATG